GGGGACAGAGACAGGGATAGGGCTTCTCTTTGAGGAGAGGGTCTTAGATAATGTAGCCAGGTGTCCTTCTGCCATTCACTTCCAGCCTCTTTCTCTTGGAGTTACCAGGTTCTTGTTTGCAGTTGACATGTGAACATCCACCAGCCCCAGGAAAGTCCACTGGGGAGTAGTTAACACCCTTGTCAGCTCTTGACCGATTTATACTCACAAAATAGATAGCATGTTTGCATTCACGGCCACATCCATTGCTGCAGCATTTCATTCCCCTGGGACATGAGTAATCTCCTCTGCAGCGGACAACACAAGTCCCAGCGGTTCCTTTGGGCACCCTGGGGCAGTGCCCTGAAACATACAATGGTGTTTGTGGAGTTTGGAATAGTCACTAACCAGGTATGAAAACTGCTGTGAGAGGTAGACAGGCTCAGTGCTGGCAGGACTCCCACCTCTTTCATTACTTCCTTTGTACTCCTGGACCCTCCCTCAGACTCAGCAGCTCCACCCTCACACTGAATACCCCATTGTCACAGTCAGGCCCTTAGGAGAATGTTCTCCCAGCTGCAAAGGCTGCCCAGTCCCAGCAGGCAAGAAACCTGCTCTGTCATAAGCCTCTTCTTTCCACTTTCGAAGAAGATATTAGAAATATCTCTGATCCCAGACATCCGTCTTCCACCTCACACGTACCCCATGTTTATCCCAGGGCTCACTCCGTGTTGGAGCCCTACATCCAAGGCACATGTAGAGGGAGCCCCAACTTTTAATGAGGCCCAACCTGATCTGATAAGAAGAATGGAGCCCTGGCTGATGTGGCTCAGTTGGTTATTGCATCACCCCATATACTGAAAGTTTGCAGGTTCAGTCCCCATTTGGGACACGTATGGTGGGCAACAAATCGATGTTCTCTCTCACTTCGATCTCTCTCTCTCTCTCTCCCTCTCTCTCTCTCTCTCTCTCTATATATATATATATATCCCTTCCCCTCTCTCTCTAAAATCAATAAGCGTATCTTCTGCTGAGAATTTTAAAGAAAAGAAGAAGAATTGGAAACCCAGGGTGATCACTCCTGAAGGTTAAAGAAAGTGGGTCTGATCAATGCCAAATCTCCACTCTGCAGCCTGTTCCTGGGCCACACCATCCCAGGTAAGAAGCTGGGCTCTGAGCCTCCTCTGCTCTCAGGTAGGACCCCCTCAGCACCCTTACCTCCATGAGGACCTCTCTGAGCGAAGGCCATCTCCATCCCCAAGATGACAAAAGCCACTAGAACAAAGACTGTGCCTGTCTTCATGTTGGCCTTTGATGTGAATGCACACACTGAGCCCAGCCCCAATTTATACCCTCAGTGACACCAGAGAGGAGTGTGTGGCCCGGCAATACAACAGGAAATGTACAACATAATCTAGTTAATTTGTTCTATTTCATAATTGGTGTCTCTCTAATTAGGGTACGTTTTCTTGTAGATGCAAATACAAACAGGAGAATTCATTGCTCCATCAAAACTTGGCACTGGTTTCCCTGGTGTCATTAGAAAAAATGGCCTAAGAAAATAATTTTCTGTGTATGATTTAGATTTTCAGAGTAAGAGCATAAACTATGAAGCTACGTGTTATTCCACATGGTGCCTCCTGGAGGTCCCATTCCAGGAGGATTCAAAGTGCTTCTGGGAGAGATGGTGAACAGGTTGTGCTTTGGAGACATCCAGGGCTGCGATCCCCAAGTAGGAGTGGATAGAGGACCTCCCATTCATCACAAAGGTAGGTAGTAAGGTCGCTCATATGAGGAGATCGATGTTCAAAGACCACAAGCTGGCAGGGCCCATGGGGATGGAGAGACAGGGTCCACTCTTGATGGCTGGGGGTCTCTGAGCCTACCCTGCTCCATATTGAGAGGTCCCTGGAGAGAGGCCTGTGTGGTTGAGCTACAATGAGCTGAGGTTCAGGAAAAGACTGTTACAGAATTTCAGAGAAGGGGGTATAGAGGTAAAACTCCAATGACTATAGGAATGAAGAGAAGCCTGCTTTGTCTTTCGGGGTCAGATCTGGGACAAGCACCTCATGAGCACCTATGGGGAGGCCAGGATGAGGTCCTCTAATATCACAGGAACACTAAGGAAACCAAGAGAGAAGGGCTCAGACCAGCCACCTCAGGTAGTTAGGTCACACCCAGCATCTCAGACTCTTTGGATGTACAAAGGGTACAACACCCAGGACCCCTCTGTCTGAAGAAGGGACCAGAGTACCTGAAGAAGACATGCAGCTCAGTACAGGGTGGAGATCAATTGCCCAAGGCAGCACAGAGCACAACAAAGAGCACAAAAAGAACAAGCCCAAATGCAAATCCGAGGTGTCTGGCCAGATGCCAGACTGCTGAGTAGCATGGCCTTGGTGAGTGTATGGGGCCAAGGTGCACAGCCCCAAAGAACTTGCAGGAGAACCCTACAGAGCACTCTTGGTAAGGGGAGGACTCCCTAAAACCTCCCTAAAAGTGACTTAGACACAACTACTATCACTTAATTAACATCATTTTTAAAAAATTTTTCTCACGTGTTTGGTATGTATTTTTCTAAGTACTATCCTATACTTTACATACATATGTATATGCAAATATGTATCTTCGCTTCAGAAATGAAATAATATTGTACAGTATTGTTTCACTTTATTTACTTAACATTATTTCTTTTTAAAATATATTTTTTATTGACTGAGGAAGGGAAAGGGAGAGATAGACAGATACATCAATGATGAGAGAGAATCATGGATCAGCTGCCTCCTGCATGCCCCCTACTAGGGATTGAGACCGAAACCTGGGCATGTGCCCTGACCAGGAATCAAACCGTGACCTCCTGGTTCATAGGTCCATGCTCAACCACTGAGCCACACTGGCTGTGCTTAACATTATGTCTTGGAGAGATTTCATGTTAGTATCCCCCTCCCCTTTTAAAATAACCACTATCTAATATTCTATTATATAAGTGATTCATAATTTATTTAAACAGATTTCAATTGCTGAACATTTAGGTGGTCTCTGTATCATTAGCAATTTGCTGCTATATGCATGATATACTTTGTATATGCTTCTTTGTTTATATATGTCAATATTTCCCCCTGAATAGATGCCTAAACAAGGAAATAACAAAGGATATGTTTACTGTAGAGTTGGAAGATATTGCCAAATTGCCCTCCAAAAAGGCTGCACCCATTTACACTTCCTCCTGCAATGAAGGAGGCACCGATTTCCCACATACTGACCTGATGAATTTGCATTCTTGTTTTCCCAAGTTAAAATTTTAATGCAATATTTCAAGGTGTATATTCCCATATTCCCCTTGGGATGTAACCCAGTTGGGAATGCAGGGCAAAGTACTTTCATGGCAGTTATGAAAAAAATTTAATTAGTGGAAATTACATATGAAAACATAGTCTGGTATGTGCTACTCTAGCACATGGAGTTTCCAGGATGAAGCAAGGGTGGTTATGGCCTCTCCTGGTTTTGCTGATTCTGCAGTTCAAGAATGGGAGCTGCAAGGCTGCAAAGGAGGCCTCCCTTCAACAACAACGATACTGGGCTCCATTAAGCAGGCGATTACACATCAGGACCTGTGCCTGTACTCACACCTGTCACCTCACCGAAGCCTCCTAAGCTGTGGGGTCGCTTCCATTGGCAACCACATGTCACAGATGAAGGGACTGAGACTTGAAGGAAGCCCATGTTTTGCAAACACTTCGACCCCATCTCAGACCCACCAATGGGGAACTGCCAATGGGGAAGTTCAGAAAAGCTCCTCAAATGTTTTCATGTACATGAAGTGAGGAACACTTCGCCTACCGGATAAAACCTTTATTTCTGTGAAGAGCTAAACAAAATGTCTCCATAAATAGTTGATTTCTAGTGACATTCACAAAATTGGAAATCTGGCAAGTTCTCATGACATATTACTACTTGATAATATCCAGGTGTCTACAGCAACCAACAGACATATATAAAAAATTAACTAAGGAACAATATAGAGGTTCCTCAAAAAATTAAATATAGAATTACCACATAATCCAGCAATTCCACTTCTGGCTATATACCCCAAAGATTTGGAAGCAGGATCTCAAAGAGCTATTTGTACACTCATGTTTATAACAGCATTATTCATCAGTTAAACATGGATACAACCCGAGTGTCCGTTGGCCAATAAATGGATAAGTAACATGTAGTATGTAAATATAAGGAAATACTATTAA